CTGCGATGCGGTCTGTGAATGAGCTCTCCAATTTGGCCTCGGCCTTCCTGATGGCGTCGTCCAGACCTTTTGCACTGACGTCCCCGTCATGTGTGGGAGCAGCTGGGATCCACGACTCCAGGTCCTTGATGGGGTCGAATCCCTCGTCACAGTGTAGGGAGGTCCGGTTGCCCAGGTCGCCCTCCTGGAAGCGGATCCAGAGTCTGGCCAATCTCCCATATTCCGAGAGCTCCCTGAGGTGCGATCCCGTGGCCGTGCCGAACATTCTTCCATCCCCGATTACGATAACGTGTGACTTGGCACGCGTTATAGCGACATTGACCCTTTTGGGATTGTCCATGAAACCCCAGTCCTGGAAGTAGTTGGACCGCGTGGTCAGGAAGATCACGATGTCTGCCTCACCGCCCTGGCTGGAGTCGATGATGGAGATGCTGAGCCTGCCGCTGGCCAGGTGTTTCCCAGCTACCTGGCATATCCCTTGGAATTGTAGACCGATTCCGTTGGATTGGGAGCTCCATTGCTCGAAGACCTGTTCGTGTCCTCGTTGGTCCCGGGGGCGGAGAGGGGGTTCGCATGGCCCTTTGAATTCGCCTTTGCCATCTCCTTTATCCCTGCTCCTAGCCTGTCCGAGGGAACCGAAGATGCTGTGACCTGACTGGGGCCAGCCCCTCTCGAGCACCGCGCGCTGAGGCTGGTAGCCTACCTCGACCAGGACTGTGGTCCCTTTTTCCATGGCAGGCACGAGGGCCCTCACCACGTCCACCGTCTGTGCGGCCTCTGGGATGTTCGCGTAGCCAGAATGAAGATTGGAGGTGACCTCGACTGAGGGGTTGTCGACCAGGAGAAACCGGCGCCTTTCTTCGGAGGCTGCGGTGGGGGTTGAAGGTCCCGTAATAACGTCTCCATGTCGCCTGTGGTGGTATTGGCCGACTCTGCTAGCGTCCAGAGCCTCCCTTCGTCCCAGGGACGTACCTGCTGCCACGGTAGTCCTTCCACGATAGGCCTCTGCAGCAGGGGATTGGTGAGCCCTGTCCGAATGGCCTTGTTGTAGAAGGCCACGCTCGGCCACGAAAGGAGGAGAGGACGCATGCGGTAGCATAGGTTCAGCTGTACCACTGCTGGGCTATCCCCGCCAAGTGCATTGTACAGTTTGCTGGTGGGGATACGCGAAGCGTGAAGAATTGATTATTCTGGGTTTGGGAACATTCTAGCGTTCGCGCATTGTTGGACTTCCGAAGACCCAAGACGGCACAAGAGGCCTCAACGATGGTCATCGACGGCTCCAGAGTCCCTCAAAAAGGTCGCAAGACGGCCCGAAAGGGCCCCAAGATAATTGCCCCAAAAACGCCCCCAAGGCGGCCAAGAGAGGGTCCGAGGACGGCCCCGAGACAGCTCCAGAGCTCCCCAACACGGCACGAAAGCGCGAAGAGGCCCCAAGGATGGCCCAAGCCCCTGGGACGACCTCCGACGGCGCCAGACGGGCCACGATCGCCCGAAAAGGCAACCGAGAGGCCCACGAGCGCCCCGAAAAGGTCCCCCGCCCAGGCGGCCGCCCCGCCGCCACGAGGCAATCGCGCGGCGGCGCCACTCCACAATCAAAAGCGGAGGGCCCGTCAGACAGGCTCGGAGGCCCTGTTGCGGGGTCTGCGTGGCACTCCGTTCCGCTGACCTCCCCAGAGCGCGTACACTTGGAGGCGATTGCACAGTTGGCATCGCCCCAAGGAGCCGCGAGGCCTCTTCTGGGTCTGCGTGGAGCTGCACTCCGCTGGACCTTCCAGGCGCCCGCGAAAATGGCGACGGGTTACGCAGATGGCCAGCGCTACGCAGTGAGAAGCGTGCAGGCAGAAAAGTAGAGGAAGGAGAAAAGTAGAGAAAATTATCCCGGCAAAGCAACCTAACAGCGATGTGTAGGAGCATATCTGGAAGCATCCCCCTTAAGATTCAGATGAGAATCCAGTTGTAGAGTTCTGCTGTTCTCGCAGTCGTAGTCGCATTCGCGATGACAGTCGCAGTGGCCTGCATTAGCCTCAGCCTCAGCCTCAGCCTGCCTCAGCATCAGCCTCAGCCTCAGCTTCAGCCTGCCTCAGCCTCAGCCTCAGCCTGCTCAGCCTCAGCAGCCTGCAGCCTCAGCCTCAGTCTGCCTGCAGCCTCGGCCTCAGCCTCAGCCTGCCTCAGCCTCAGCCTCAGCCTCAGCCTCAGCCTCAGCCTCAGCCAGCCTCAGCCTCAGCCTCAGCCTCAGCCTCAGCCTCAGCCTCAGCCTGCCAGCCTCAGCCTAGCCTCAGCCTCAGTCTGCCTTCAGCCTCGGCCTCAGCCTCGCCTGCCTCAGCCTCAGCCTGCATCAGCCTCAGCCTCAGCCTCAGCCTGCCTCAGCATCAGCCTGCCTCAGCCTCAGCCTCAGCCTGCCTCAGCCTCAGCCTCAGCCTGCTTCAGCCTCAGCCTCAGTCTGCCTTCAGCCTCGGCCTCGGCCTCGGCCTGCCTCAGCCTCAGCCTGCATCAGCCTCAGCCTCAGCCTGCCTCAGCATCAGCCTGCCTCAGCCTCAGCCTCAGCCTGCCTCAGCCTCAGCCTCAGCCTGCTTCAGCCTCAGCCTCAGTCTGCCTTCAGCCTCGGCCTCAGCCTCAGCCTGCCTCAGCCTCAGCCTGCATCAGCCTCAGCCTCAGCCTCAGCCTGCCTCAGCATCAGCCTGCCTCAGCCTCAGCCTCAGCCTGCCTCAGCCTCAGCCTCAGCCTGCTTCAGCCTCAGCCTCAGTCTGCCTTCAGCCTCGGCCTCAGCCTCAGCCTGCCTCAGCCTCAGCCTGCATCAGCCTCAGCCTCAGCCTCAGCCTGCCTCAGCCTCAGCCTGCCTCAGCCTCAGCCTCAGCCTGCCTCAGCCTCAGCCTCAGCCTGCTTCAGCCTCAGCCTCAGTCTGCCTTCAGCCTCGGCCTCAGCCTCAGGCTTCAGCCTCGCCTCAGCCTCAGCCCTCAGCCTCGGCCTGCATCAGCCTCAGCCTCAGCCTCAGCCTGCCTCAGCATCAGCCTGCCTCAGCCGCAGCCTCAGCCTGCCTCTGCCTCAGCCTCAGCCTCAATCTGCCTTCAGCCTCGGCTTCAGTCTCAGCCTGCCTCTGCCTCAGCCTGCATCAGCCTCAGCCTCAGCCTGCCTCAGCCTCAGCCTGCCTCAGCCTCAGCCTCAGCCTCAGCCTCAGCCTGCCTCAGCCTCAGCCTCAGCCTGCTTCAGCCTCAGCCTCAGTCTGCCTTCAGCCTCGGCCTCAGCCTCAGCCTGCCTCAGCCTCAGCCTGCATCAGCCTCAGCCTCAGCCTCAGCCTGCCTCAGCATCAGCCTGCCTCAGCCTCAGCCTCAGCCTGCCTCAGCCTCAGCCTCAGCCTCGGCCTGCTTCAGCCTCAGCCTCAATCTGCCTTCAGCCTCGGCTTCAGTCTCAGCCTGCCTCAGCCTCAGCCTGCATCAGCCTCAGCCTCAGCCTCAGCCTGCCTCAGCCTCAGCCTGCATCAGCCTCAGCCTGCTTCAGCCTCAGCCTGCATCAGCCTCAGCCTGAGTCTGCCTTCAGCTTCGGCCTCAGCCTCAGCCTGCCTCAGCCTGCCTCAGCCTCAGCATCAGCCTGCCTCAGCATTCAAAATGTGGCCAGGGAATGGAATTCTGGGAACTCGAAGAACACGAAGTGGCCTACAGTTTGCTCCGGGCATTCAAAATCATACCCAGGAATGGAGTTCTGGGAAGTCCAAGAGCACGAAGTGGCCTACAGTTGGCTCCGGCTATTCAAAATGTGGCCCGGGAATGGAGTTCTGGGAACTCGAAGACCAGGAAGTGGCCTACAGTTGGCTCCGGGCATCCAAAATGTGGCCCGGGAATGGAATTCTGGGAACTCGAAGAGCACGAAGTGTGTGACTTGCATCCGGCCCTCCAGAATGTGGCCCGGGAATGGAGTTCTGGGAACTCGAAGAGCACGAAGTGTGTGACTGTTGCATCCGGCCCTCCAGAATGTGGCCCGGGAATGGAGTTCTGGGAACTCGAAGAGCACAAGTGTGTGACTGTTGCATCCGGCCCTCCAGAATGTGGCCCGGGAATGGCGTTCTGGGATCTCGAAGAGCACGAAGTGTGTGACTGTTGCATCCGGGTATTCAGAATGTGGCCTGGGAATGGAGTTCTGGGAAGTCGAAGAGCACGAAGTGTGTGACTGTTGGTGAAAAACGAGCCCGGCACCCTGCCGCCCGGCAACTCCCCAACACCTGCCCGGACCCCCCTGTGGAGTGATCTGTGAGCTCTTTTGAGTCAACTAGAAACCTATCAGTCTTCGCTGTTAGGTAAAGAGGAAGGCAAGAGAAGAAAAGCAGAGAGAAGCAAAGAAAAAAACAGAGAAGCAGAGAAGACAAGAGGGGAAACGTAGAGAAAGAGAGCAAGGAGCGCGAGCAGCGCCCGACTCAGAACGAGAACCCACCGCAAAAAAGTTGACAAAAAGGACGAGGAGTACCAGGAGGAAAAGCAGGAACAAGGCAAGGCGACACCAACACCACCAGAGCCCGGAAATGCGAGGAGCACGGGAGGTCTCTCTGGTGGTGTGGTCCCCGCTCTCGCTCGAGACACCCGCAGCCTCCAGCTCGGGGAGGCATCGTGGACCTCCCTCGTGGAGGTGGCCAGCCTTGCGATGTTGGTGTCGCTTCTCTTCCCTCCCAACAAAAAATATGAGAGGTGGTGCCAGGACGGAACAAGAGGCAACACGCGCGACACGGACGGCAAGCTTCAGCCTCGCTTCTCGTAGATCCGGTATTTCGCCCGCCGAGCGGAGGGGACGGAGCGATTGTGGAGGAAGAACATAACTACTAAACATAAAATGTCGGAGCCTCCGCGCGGATTTCTTGGATCTGCGCTGGAGACCCCCTGGCGGAGCCTCCGGCGCCACCCCTGGCGCGCTCCGCGCGACAGGGAGGGGGTCCAGCGCCGATCCCAGAAGTCCGCGCGGAGCTGCAGAATTTCCTGTCTGTGCCGGCTCTTCCTTCCTCGAGCTTGTCCAGCCCTGCCCCCCGCGAAGCGGTGCGCATGCCCAGTGCAGTCCGAACAGCAGCTGGTGTCGATACTCAGGCTCAGAGTGGCGGGGGCAGCCGGCCCCACGGTGCCGTAGAGCAGCACCTCGCACACCGTCATGGCGCCGCTCCCCGCTGCAATCTGCACGTACCGCCCGGCAAGCGGGGCTGAGCACTCCGTTTCCGCCGTCGGGCTCCCTGCGCTCGCGGCCACGCCCGTCGCGCAGGTCACCCCCCCAGAGGTCTGCGTGTTGCCGACGGCCACCGTGCCGGCCGCGATGGCCCCATACAGCCGGAAGCTGTGCACCACCCGGGCCGCGCCGAGGTCCAGCCAGAGCACCTCCGACGCCGCGATCTGGACGCAGTTGCAGTCGGACGCAGTGTCGTCGGTGTCCCCGTCGAACGCGCTCTCCACGGCGCCGGCGGTGACGCCCGATGCGTCGGCGCCCGCGCGGTAAATCGGAAGCAGACCCACGATGCCAAGCCCGTCGGAGCCCCATGTAGATATCAGGCCGT